TGTCCCTGTCCCAGGGCACACGGGGCTGTCCCTCTGTCCCAGGGCACAAAGCACCCCCGGTGCCTCAGCTCTGCAGTCACAGAGAGAACAGCCCCGTCTCCACTGTTCTGGGGCAATAAAAACAGCCAAACCCACCGTCCCTGCTTTGGAATTCCTTCCCCTTCACCATTGTCACACGAGGTGCACAGGGCACCCAGGCTGGAGACAGGAGTTTTAACAATTCCACTCCATGGAGCCCATAGTAACATATTCTCTTACCAACATCCACCAACTCCTCGAGGATTCTTCCTGAGACTTCCAACCCAATTTAGCTCCGCCATATGTCAGTGCTACTTGCTTCAGCACTGAATTTTCTCCAGTTCTTCACTACAGCTAAACCACTCTGTTATTTTGAATAAAATGAATAAAGGAAATATTACTTGTTTACTTGGAAAAAAAACAGGTAAAGAGGATAATGGGTCTGGAAGCCAACCAAATTTACCATCACCCTGCTGGACAGAGTGTGGGGAGCACATGTTCAGTCCCATCTCCCTTAAGAAATCCCCTCATTTTTCAAGTTTTGCTGAATATTTATGTCAAAGCCTGGCAAGCAGAGCACCCCAAGGGTTTTCTAAGGTGCTGTGCATTTCCTGCAGCAGCCAACAAGGAACGTAGAAGGGCTTGCTAATCCTGTTCACTCTCAACTCCTGAGTTTGGCCCATATCACCCTTTGATCCTTTGACCCTCTTGAAATCACGCCCTGTCATCAGCAAGGTAAGAGGGGAAAAGGAGCCTTCATCCAAGCCTTCACTGTCTCAAACGAGAGAAGCTGCAGCAAGGAAAAATGCCGTTTCCTACATTTCATTTATTTCCTACATTCAAGTGGCTTGGGGGCTTTTCCTTACAGCCGACCCAAAGTGAGGGGAGACCCATGGGGGTCTGCAGCTCCTCCCGAGGGTCTCTGCTCCCTGGGACAGGCACCAGACCCAGGGAACGGCTGGAGCTGGGCCAGGGCAGGCTCGGGGGCATCCCCAGAGGGGCTGGCACTGCCCAGATCCCCCGGGCATGGGCACAGCCCGAGGCTGCCAGAGCTCCAGGAGTGTTGGACAGAACTCGAGGGATTCCCAGGGGGGATTGTTGGGGGTCTGGCAGGGACAGGAGCTGGAATGGATGATCCTTGGGTCCCTCGCAGCTCAGGATATTCCCTGATTCGATGAAATAAATGGGTGTTTCCCCAGCAGGAGTGCTCACAGTGGAATTCAACCATTTCCTTTGAAAAGTGAAGTGTTTTCCTTGTTACCCTGCCTTGAGCATCCGCATTGGTTTCACACAGGAAGGAATGCTCGAGGAAGGAGTGCTGCCCATGCTGGCTGTGCCACAGCTCCCCAGGGATGCTCGAGGAAGGAGTGCTGCCCATGCTGG